ACATAATGCAAGAATATGAAAGATTTTATCAACAATTTTTTATATATGAAAGCGCTCAAAATTATTCATACAGCTGACAAATAACTTTATTGTTCTAATATTTTTGCAATAGTTCGAGTTTTTGAGTTCCGACTTTCATGAAAATATAGGTGAAGTTCTCTAGTGTACACTCGGAGAAAGTTTGAATTTGATTAAATGTATATTTGACATTCTTAAACTAAAAGTATTAAAATTGTAGAGTTTTCGTTCCGCTCAAAGTTATTCGTACACCTTAACTTTTATTAATTTTTTTTCTGCATGTTTATGCACCCCCTACAACTTCTTTGTCTTATTCATATGATATAGACCAGTTAGAAGTGTTGACACCTGGGAATGTTGATGTGGATGTTAGTGCTTATATTTTGTTCACACTGACATGCATACCTACACTTCGATCATCCGAAATCGATCGACAAATACAAAAACTTACATCGCCGAAAAATAAATATGAGCTGAAATCAATATTGTTCCAGAAGAGAAATTCAATTGAAGATGATGTAAGTGAAGTATCAGTTGATTCAATTGAGAATCGTTTAGAAGAATACATAAAACTACTGTGTGTGAGTGTGGGTATGAATATTGGTGTGAGCTGGAGTTAGGATGGGTGACGTACTTTTCGGCTCAAGCCATTCCGAACTTTGGACATGTGTGCGGTTTTGCGGAAATGAATTTTTGTGCTTAAAGATTTATGACCGGGTTTCGTACACATTTTTATGCGGAAGATCGTGGTAGAAAAGTAGGGAAATCGGTATGGTGTGACAGGGCTTTCGAAGTTTTCATTGGGACCACTATGTTTGTCATTACCAACTTCTGGACTTTCTCATTCCGATCTTCAGTCAAAATTTCGCTGTTCGACCTCTAACAATAGGTTGTCAGAGTTCGTCATGAAGTCTTGGACAAATTTCACTCCGAACATCTTGTTTTTTATTGCATTGTATTGACTTTTGCTATTGAGAACTGTATTCCGAATCTCTGTGTTTTTTTCTTATGTCCAGCGATCGTATTGAACTACTTCAATCGGGGTTCGTAATGAAAAAGTGAGATGAAAAGTCATTTTCCCGAGAGAACATATAACGAAAGACAAAGACGAGAAGAAAAAGGAAAGACTTGGATAAGCGAAATAAAATGGGAAGATGTGGAGGACAAGCCTATAACAATCATATTCTTTAATAAAAGACTCGTTTCCGCCATCAACGTTTCTGATGATGAGGAACATGCATCAAACTTCATATTGACAGTTAACATTAGTTTGTTTTTCAAATGATGACAATTATGCTTCATCTTTTTATCTAACCTTCATCTGTAGTCTTATCGTTGACAATATCTCTGCAGCTCCAATTGCACATGCGTTACTTTATGTTAATAGACATTTATGAAAATTGACTTTGACAAATGCTGGTTGAATTAGTGCCATTGAGGATCCAGTATGACGTATATGAAATATGCATTAATAATTGCCTTATTTAATGGTGATCACTGCTTCAAAATGACATCACAACATAAGTAATACTTATTTCTTGCCGTTCTAGTGAAAACAATTGCACAGTACTTTTCTATTAAAATATTCCATATGAAAACGAGAACAAATTTCTGTTTGGCCCAAAAATCGTTCCGATTTTAAGGGTATATCTCCTTTCTCGACCTCGAAAATTCATTTTTTTCGTTTTCATTTTTTTTGTATCTAAAAAGATACTCAAGTATTCTCTATTGAATGGCATATGAACGAAAAGTTTTATTGTTATTTAGGTTTTAAAAAGAATACGACATTAAAGATCCCATATACAAAAATTCAGGCGCTAGAGCTCTTTTGCGTAGCAAATAATCTATACTAATGTACTTATTACATTATCAAAATGTATTGTGTGAATCAGAAATGCATCCTCCTAGCACTTTGCAAGTGCATTAATTGATATCTGTACATGAAAAAATAATAAACTCGAAATATCGAAAAACAATGGCATTTTTCTCACAATCAATTTTCTTGGAGAAAATTTAAAACTTTCCCTCTTCTTTTCAAAGATGTTTCGACCGATTGAGCTGAAATATTTCATGTAATAACTAGGACTACATTGAGGTGTATTAATTTGGGTGTGGTGTGGGTGCCACTGTTGACCTTGTCTTCACCCACTCCACACACCCACCATTTTAGAAAAATGTCATTTTGTGTACCTAAAGATCTAAGTGCGCTGCCACAAGTGCTCAAGTTTTATGGATGAACTTAAAAGAAAGATGATTTATCAAATTTCTTTCTTGTTCTGCATTTGCAAACAACGATAAGCAAAATAGATCGGATGTATTAGATGAAATGCGTTTGATATAATGGTGGAAAGGAATGGGGAAAAGGACAGGTGCATTATATCTGTTTGTCTATTAACCAAGCCACTCTCGTTCTTGTTGTTCCATTTCACACACGATCGTACCATTTTAAAAATGCGTTCTCTCGTATTACTCTTGTTCCTCGTTTTCTACTGTTTTGATGTTGAGGCACTCAAAAAGAGACAGTGCAGAAGGAACATGCTGTTGAGTTCTTTCATAATCCAAAACGAAATAAAACTGGTTCCTTCTAGGCTATTGTCCATTCCATTTTGCATCATGCGGCATTGCCTATCTACTTGTCTCACCCTTAGAGATGTGTGCGAACCGCCGAAACTGCTGCACGTATGACAGTGAATGCGCCTTTGATAAAAAATGCTGTCCACCCGACTGTGGATGCTAAAATCGGTGCATCAAAGCTCAAGAGAAACCAGGCTGGCCCAACCAGCCTTAGAGTGTAACAGTCTTTTTTTTATGATCATGAAGATTCGTTGTATGACAATAGAGAAATAGACTAATTCTGATGGTGCCTTTTGAATTGAACCTCGCAAATTACGATACGTTGAATACACAATTCTTAATTTTGTTGTCTTAACCGAAACGAGATATTACAGATGACTGATGAACACGATCAACGATAGGGTTTATTTCAACTAGAAAAGAGATTCTCTTGCATTTGATCGTTCCTTCTTTTCTGTTTTATAATGCAGCTATGGAGACTGTTAAGTAAACTTGATTGCAAGAAGAATAAAGAGAAAAAAATTTATTTATGTTGTATTTGTCCAGGTACTTTTTTCACTTTAGTGTCATTTCTTATCATTCCCTATTGTCACAGCGTTTAAAAGAATGCGTGGCAAATTGAGCAATCACGTGTACTTAGAGCTTCTCTATCACATTAATAACAACTGAAGGTAATTGAATGGTGTTATCAACATGCTCTACTAACCTTCACTAAGGCATAGCTGAAAGGATCAGGTTCGATTTAAGGTCATTCCTCTCAAAAAAAAAGTCAATTTTCGTCAGAAAAATCGAAATTATAATAAATGTATTGGAAGATGGTCCATAGTCTAATCTTTCATAAATGACAGGTTTTTTTTACTGGGCACGCCCTTTTTAGCTCAAATTCTTGGTGATTTCGGTCATCTTGTACTTGAAAAATATAGTTTTTTTGAGAAAAAACGAACAATATTTTTCGTTTTTCCTCTGTTCGTTTTCTTGATCGCGCATCCCAGATTTCTTTGAGAGTCCTCATTCTATATATTTAAACTTTTTATTGTGTGAAAGAGCATATCAGACAGCAGTATTTGACAGAGCCAGTTGTTTGAATTAAACTTTGTTATTAATATATAAAAAAGCACTTTTATAAATAGATCCCTATTTTTTGAAAGTTTTTCGAGACATTGAACTTATCATCCTTTATCTTCTCATAAAAAAGTAAGACTTTTAAAAAAAGGACTGACAGACACTGCAGCCAGATATGCTCTCTCAAACAACCAAAGAAATTAAATATATTGAATGAGCATGGCCAGAGAAATTTGGGCTGCCAAATAAGCTATTTCTGATCGTTGTTTGGTGAATATATTTGCTAAATGTTATTGTATAGAGATGAAAATTTTACCATAGGCTCTCTACTACAGTCCTAACATATCCTCTAAATTTCAGACGATTTGACCGTACCTAGTGCAGAATCAATTTTTGAGAATAGGATGCCTTAATAGGCGCGGTATATGATTTTCATCTAGCGTTGATCGACAGCAACGGAAATAATCTCTAGAAAATACACCATGAACTGATTCTCGGACAACTCTCCTTCTTCATCTTTATGCACGATCTTTCCAAATCATTTGGAACATTTACTCTTTGACTAATTAACGAGCAGTTTGGGTGTGGGTGTGGGTGAAAAAGTTACAATACCCTCAACCTCACTCCAACCCCACGCCCACATCCTTACGCACATCCACATTGCACGCCCACACCCCACACCCACATTCCACATCCACATCCGCACACCCCACCCACACGCACAGCCACACCCACAGCCACAACCATCCACATTCACACCCGCAGCTCAAATCACACATCTTCTTCTTAACAGGCAAATGCACTTTCATTGGAACTTTTTTTAGAATTTTATTTTTATGGAATGATTAAAAACAACATCAAGACAAATAAATAGTGACTTTCTATGTCGATACTGATAATACAGTGTTCATTAATATTTTTGTTTTTTCATAATTTTGGTATCACTTGATTTAAAGTTATATTTCCTCGTTGCCATCGATTCAAATGAATTTTAAACAGTACATAGTTCAATTGTTTACGAAATCGTTCAGATACACAAATATATATGTAAAAAGGGCTCTAAATATATAAATTCATTAAATCAGAGAAAAACTGATTTATAAAATCTATACTCACCGCATAGTATAAAAAATATAAGAGACCGAATATAGAAAAAATAAACTGTATTTGTGCCGCAGAAGTTGGATTTTTTGTAATGTTTGTACTAATTATAATTATGTAAATAGTAGCATATGGTACAATAACAAAAAAATTATGGATTATTTGTATCAAAACCATTACTGTCAATTGTTTGTCTAATTCACGTCGAACAAGTGGAATTGTTCGATAAGCCATTTGTTGAATATTTCGGTATGCTAACAATCCAAATATGACCGTAATGGAGATGGGAAGCACAAGTCCAAGAATAAGTACATAAAAATAGATGAAATATTGTTGAAAGATGGCATTTGTGATTGTACATGTGAGTTGTCCTGTTTTAGGCATTTCTATAATATTGTAAAACACCAAATATGGTATTCCATGAAGTATCCAAAAAGAAGCAGTTATGATGCAAAGACTACGAGCTAATTTAATATTATTCCATTGTTGCCACCGAGGATTAAAACAAGTAGCCATAAATTGATCAATTGTTGCTAGGCATATACATGTAAATGAAGTAAGTGAACATATTTGTAAAATATATCCTTTGAATTTACAATAGAATAATGAAGTTTGTGTCCAATCAATAACAAATCCACTTGTCATAATACGTGGAAATAGACTAAATATTAATTGACCAATATTGAAAAATGACATAAAAATTAAATAGAATGCACATGAATTTTGTCGAAATGTTCGAAGACTTAGAAAAACAATAATATTAAGAATTTCACCAATCATACCTATGATAAGAATAAATGTGCCAACATAAATGTTTATTTGTTGTGAAGCAATAGTAAGAGATGAAATATTTGATGCCGACATTGAATTGAATGTTCTATGACTCTTACAGTCCTGTTTGTTAGTATGTAATATCTTTCTCTATGTTAGTACAAAAGAATTTTCTAAGTTCATCGGGTTTTTTCCTAATGGTTATATTAAATATGTCTATCATGCTTCACATTTTATGGTAAGTCAAATACCCCTTCTTTAAAAAATAATGTTTCTTTTCAAGTATAAATGTGACTATGGATAGAAAAGCAACATAATGTGCTACACGTAATTATGAATTTATTTTATATGACAGCATGCATTTCCGTATCATTTGTTCATAATTTAAAGCAATGTATAGTGTTCTTATTAATATTAAATTTTATGCATGATGTGCGCATTTTTTTCAAAATAAGTAATTGAAGAAAATTCATAAAAAATAGAATTCGTTGTTCCCTAATGAAAGGATAGAGAATGCATCCACTAGGGGACGTTCCCTACTGTCACGTCGCCTTTGAATCGAGCGCATGCGCATCATGCATGCCCTAATGATCTATGAATACTCTATAGTTTGTCCCGCTTGCTTATTACTGCCTAGATATTGCATTTTTACTGTATGTTTTTTAAAAAAAGCCGTGGCTTCCCTCAGGAATACTAGAAAAACTAAATTTCGAATTTCGACTTGAAACTTCGCATAGAGATAGGCCTCAGTGAGAATAGTTTATTGTGAAAGTTTCAGATCTTTTCGTTGTTCCTATCCTAAGATACAGCTATGGTAAGATAGCCTATATACACCAACAGATTCCGATTTTCTTATTTCAGACTAGGAGCAATCAAAAGATCTGAAACTTTCACAATAAACTATTCTCATTGAGACTTGTCCCTGTACAAAGTTTCAAGATGAAATTCGAAACTCTGTTTTCCTAGTGTTCCTGAGGGAAGCCACGGCTTTTTTTTAAAAACATACAGTAAAAATGCAATATCTCGGCAGTAATAAGCTAGTGGCACGAACTTTTTTCAAAGTATTTACAGATTATCAGGGCCTCCATGATACGCATACGCTCGACTCAAAAGCGATGTGACGGTTGGGAATGTTCCATCGTTAGTTAATTCATTTGTGAATCATCCATGTTTAAAAATTTATTTAAAACAATATAACATAGAAAAAAGAAAAATCACAATTACATTACATGCAACAGATACAAGTAAACGAATAACTGTATAAGAAGTCCAAATAATGAGAAATCTTTATTTTTCATAATAGTGAGCTATTTTTGCATTGCATTCACATAAAGAAGAAATTAAGTGATCACCGATGATAAATATGTTGATCTAAATTTCAACTGTGTCATCGATATTCGATAGTTTTCCAAATATCAATAAACTTTTTCTTCATGGTAGTTATTTTAGAAATGAAGATTATCCTATAACCAATCTCCGTTGTACTGTTTCTTGAGAACAGATTACTTAATCAGTCTATTGTTCACATCTTTTTTATTTTGAAGAACTTATTGATGTATTACATTCAACACCGAATATTCATTCATTAGTACTTTTATTGATACATCTTTATCGAACAGATTTGAAATCAATACACAAAGAAAAAATGAATCTTTTCAAATAGTATATAATACAAATATAGATGGAAACAATTCACTTTCTTTTTAATCTATGTCCTCGAATGAAATATCTTATTATTGATGTATGTATGAAGCATTTTCCAACAATTGTGCAATTACTATTATCAAAAGACTAATTGAAAATGCTTGTCTTTTATTCTCATTATGTGTTTTATAAGCGAAAAAAGATTTGGAAAAAAGTAATAATAAAAATATATGTTCAGACGATGCAAACATTTTTAACTTCAAACATTTGATATATTAGTCCTGTTTTGTTTTTAAAGTATTTATTGTTATCACTATCACTTTTGGTTTTTTCTTTATAATTCGATAAATCTTCCCGACTTTGAAAAGGAAAGCTAGATTTTCTATATGACATATGGTGATAAAGTCTTCTGTAAAATCAATAGAATAAATAATCATCTAAAGGCTTTAAAAAACAGAAAGATGAAAATGTGTCTTAGTTTTTTTTGATTCTATCACATATGACGATAGTGAAATAAGGTTAATTAGACTAGATATTACTGGTTTTGTATTTGAAAGACATTCAATGAGTCTATTATAAAATTGAACGTGACCATCTGTAATTATTTTTCATATCAAACAAAAAAATCTTTTTATTTTAGAAGTCTGAAAAATAAGGTTTATTTTTTCAAAATAGAGTTCATGACATGGAGATGATAAAGATGTATAAAGTATACTGATATGAAAAACATTGAATAAATAGCCTTCCTGTGTGAACATGGTAATTAATGTTGTCCTAACCCAGTGGAAAATATTCCAACTAAACTCTGGATTATTTTTGATTATTCCAGTGCGACGCTGATTATCTTTTAGATCGTCCGACTTTTTCTAAAAAAATCTGATGAAAATTTATTTTAATTCTTGTTTTGACATCAAAAACAATCTTTTTCTAATCATTGAAATGTACTATCCAGGTTTCAGTCAGATTTCAATTCGATTTCTAATTGAGGAAAATCGATTTCTTTGATTTCAATCTCATCTCAGTCATAGATGATGATTTCATGAGATTTCAATCTGATTCTCTATCCATGATGATTGATTTTCGTTTTGTTTTTTAGATTTGATATCCAGGCGTGAGACATTTTCTGACTATGCATCTCCATTCGCTTGAATTTCGTTCGATTCTAAACTAATACCAAACGCTACGTGGATTCTGTCTATTTCACTGATTTGTAACTGCATCAAATCAACTTTTTATGTCTGCAGTGAATACCAAGGGAGAAAGTGCTGACTGCTTTGATTTTCAACCAATTGTAAACCAAAAAATCAATTTAATCAGAAAATCATTTTAATCAGAAAATCATTTTAATCAAAAAAATCTGATTTTCGCTCTTTTTTCCTTGGATCTATCATAAATATTACAAAAAAAGTTATGTTTTTGATTGTGTCAATTGTTTGTTTTATTTTTGAAGTTCTTATATACACTAATTTCATTGAATTAAGCTGGTTTTTTCGATGTCAGGTTGACAGAAAATCAAAAATATCAAGTATTTATCGGCGATTTTTTAATCAAAAAAATCTAAAAATAAATTAATTCAATCAGTTTAATCGGTTAATCAGTAAAAATTTAATTTCAGTACGTTCTCCTTAGTTGAATACAAAATGTGAATAGCATTGATTATATCATTCAAAACAATGTTCAAGGTTATTGATCTAGGATTTTAAATTTTAAATGATTAAAATTGATTGGAAGGATTAAAATCGATTTTCATATCATTATCACAGACGAAACGATATGTGTAAGGATAGCATAATATATATCCTATGTGAAAAACAGAAATTATAGGAAAAAACCACCTCGATATACTGGATAAATCGATCGAAATCGACTTTAAGTCATCCATAGATTATAATCGATTTAGACTTTTATGCTATCTTGTCGAGAACCACTTATGGAGTTGACTTACTTAGGCAATCGTCACAATCTGGGGATTAGTAGCTCTAGGATACAGCAGTTCACTACTATCAAAGTTGTAGATCAGTACCGAACTAAAAAGGAAACTCATACGGAAAGAAAAAATTCGGTCATGTTAAAAAACCAATCAATTTTACACAATACAATGACTGACATTGTTACACTTCATATCTTCTGTATGGCGAATTCGAAGGCAGCGTGAAGCTTCGCGTCGATGTATCAAAAACGACCCTCTTAGACTCCAAGTTCAACTGTTTACTATATTCGTCATTATGGAAATCCATGATTAGCAAGTAAAGACTATTTAACTATACTTCCTGATTTCTAATTCAGATACTAACTTAGACTCGAATTATAATGGATTTGTTAATCTTAATCGATTATATGTTGAAATGGAATGTGTAAGGACAAAAGAACATATAAACGCCCTCGCTAAACCCTGTTTTATTACTAAAATATTATGAATAACCAATTATAATCCTCTGATTATATTTTATCACACTTTTCGTCTCAGACTGAAATTGTGTGTCAATAAACATGTATCATAGAGCTTTTCTTCTACAGCGCTGAATTGACAATTGCCAACTTCATAACGTGAGTTATTTCATTTTCTCCCAACTTGATCTTATACTGTCACGATGATGTGAATTCGTACTAAAACATGTTTCTTAAGGTGCAGCCATTAATCTTCAATATATCCATACCCATATCCACCCACGCCTACACACAGTAGCTTTATGTATTCTTCTAAACGATTCTCAATTGAATCAACTGATACTTCACTTACATCGTCTTCAATTGAATTTCTCTTCTGGAACAATATTGATTTCAGCTCATATTTATTTTTCGACCATGTACGTTTTTGTATTTGTCGATCGATTTCGGATAATCGAAGTGTAGGTATGCATGTCAGTGTGAACAAAATATAAGTACTAACATCCACATCAACATTCCCAGGTGTCACCACTTCTAGCTGGTCTATATCATATGAATAAGACAAAGAAGTTGTAGGGGGTGCATAAACGTACAGAAAAAAAACATAAAAGTTAAGGTGTACGAACAATTTTGAGCACTTTTATATATAAAAAATTGTTGATAAAATCTTTCATATT